CAACAACTTTTTTTTCCCTTTTGGAAAGCTCTTTAACTGATTGATGAGAATTACATTGATCAAGTGCTGTGCCAGAAGAAACAAAGTCTTATGTGCTGCAGATTGTCAGCGATTTCCTTCTCCAGCACATGGATAAATACACCTGGAAACCTACCTACTCTCTCTCCCCCATCTATCTACTGTATTTCTCTCTCTCTATCTCTCTACGTACCTACCTACCTACCTACCTACCTACCTACCTACCTACCTACACTCTTTCTCCCCTTACCTACCTACTGTATTTCTCTCTATCCCTCTACCTACCTACCTACTCTTTCTCTCCCTCCCTACCTACTGTATTTATTTCTCTCTCTCTCTCTTTCCTTCCCTCTCTCTCTATTTACCTACCTACTTTTTTAAAAAAATTGCCTCTTCAAAACCTTGGTGCGTCTTATACTCTGGTGCATCTTATACTCCAAAAAATAGTAGTTAAAATAGTAGTTAAAATTGGGGAGATTGAGAGGTTTATTTGTTTTGTTTTGTTATGTTGCTTTAAACAGCCATTTAAACCTTGAAGTAGGATTGAGGAACTTATGTCCTTCCAGATAATTCTTTCCCTGGACATTGATCCTGCTAACTAATGTTTATGGCAGGCTAGTGTTTATGGCATTAGAGTAATGTGGCAACTTTGCAATTTTACATAATTATTTAATTATTGGAACTTAATAGAAGATCTCACTAAAGGAATTTGACAGAGTTTAAGTGGATCTGTGAAGAACACAATTTTCAGAAAAGTAGCACTTTATTTGAAATTTTTAAAAAAATATAACAACGGAACACCAAACACTTACTTGAAGACTGGTATTCCTTTTATAATTGTCAACCCTTCTAGGTAGGCCAGATCAGGAAATCAACTCCATACCCACACCCACACACAAACACTAATTTATTGAGCTTGGCTGTAATACAGAATTTTGCAATTGCTCCAGTTCCCAGATGAAGAAGATCTGATTTACAGACAATATGGACTTACGAATGGGCTGCCTATTAACTTAAACATGGCAGAAGGCCTTCTTCTTCCTTGAGCCAATGAACTGGTGAAGCCATGCCCATGATTTCACACTGGAGCCCTACGGTTGGAACATACGGCCTGTTTTCAGTGTTTCATGAAAACATCACGCGGCTTCAGCATTTCTTTTGCCCCAAGTCGAATGCCATCTGCCTTTTGTAGTATAGGTAGCCCTTGGCTTACAACCATTAATTTAATTATTGTTTGAAGTGACAATGGCACTAAAAAAGTGACTTATTACCATTTTTCACACTTAACGACTGCTGCAGCATTCCCACAGTCACATGATCAAGATTCGGACACTTGGCATGCATTTATGACGATTACAGTGTGCCGAGTTCATATGATCATTTTTTGTGACTGTCTGACAAGCAAAGTCAATGGGGAACCCAGATTATCTTAATAACCTTGTTATTGATTCAACAACTGCAGTGGCAATAAGATTGTAAAATGGACCAAAACTCCATTTGTCTCACTTAGCAACAGAAATGTTGGGCTCAATTGTGGCCGTAAGTCAAGGACTATTTGTAATAGTCAATCTGTTTGTAACTACATGTTCTTACTTACAAATTCAAAGTTTAAGGCACATTTAGGAATAGAACTTGTTCTTAATCTGGGGACTACCTCCTCCCTATTCTTATACAGGTAGTCCTCCTTTAGCTGCCATAATTGGGGCTGGCAACTCTATAGTTAAGCAATTAGGTCATTAAGCAAAACAACATGTGCCCACAGTGGGCTGGGCTTACAACCTCACTTCCACCAAGGTCATTAAGCCAAATCACCTGTGGTCAAGAATTGAGATATTATGTGACCATGATTTGCAACTTACTGCTGACTTCTCCATTTAACATTGTACATTGGAAGTACAATACAATAGCAGAGTTGGAAGGGACCTTGGAGGTCTTCTAGTCCAACCCCCTGCCTAGGCAGGAAACCCTATACCATTTCAGACAGAAGGCTATCCAACATCTTCTTAAAGACTTCCAGTGTTGGGGCATTCACAACTTCTGGAGGCTAGTTGTTCCACTGATTAATTGTTCTAACAGGAAATTTCTCCTCAGTTCTAAGTTGCTTCTCTCCTTGATTAGTTTCCTCCCATTGCTTCTTGTTCTCCCCTCAGGTGCCTTGGAGAATAGTTTGTTCATGTTTCCCTTGCATGAAAATAGGCAACGATCATAAGTGCAAGGATTAGTTGTAAAGTTACATTTCCAGTGCTGTTGTAACATTGAATGAAGTAGTCATTAAACAAAAGTCCACTCCCACTAGTAAATCACACAGGCCTTTTCCAAATGTGGCTCTGGACTTTAAAAGGTTTCTGTCCCTTTCCCCAGGTAATGGTTCTTGCATACAGTATTTCCAATCAGGTCACCTTTCTTATTCTTTACAATAATAAGCTTCCATTGGGTGATTGAGATTCTATAAACCCCAAAGTTCCTGTGGATAGTTGAAGCTCCCATTCAATCTCCACTTCCCCTCGTTTAAGAGTACGGTTAGGTCTTTACCAGTGGTGTGTTTCAAAAATTTTTAGAACCTCTTCTGTAGGTGTGGCCTGCTTTGTGGGAGTGGCTTGCTGGCCAT